GTAAAAGCAGAAGGAAAAGTAATGCTTCCTGGTTTATTGAGAATTACGCAGCTATTATCATTACAACACAGTAATGAATATAAGCAAATCAGCAGAATTGTGTAGGTAATTTCACAAGCCATCCAAACCATGACATTGTCTCCAGAGTCTCTTACTATGGAGGTATCATTCATACTTTTGTACTAATACATAGTCATCAAAGTGGATGCTTTGGTAAAGTAATAAGTCTTCAGGCTTACTGTCATCTCCTTCTTTACAGTGAGTATCATCTGTCATATGATAAACAGCAATTTCCCTGAAAGTGAACTTCGATTCATCAGGCACTTGCTGCAGATGTTCCTGCCATGTGTGGCGAGGAACATCCATACGCACTTCCTTCCTTCCTTCTTGCAGGCAAAGAGAGTGAAGAGAGGCTCCATTTTCTGTTGCGGTTCTTCTGAAAATAGTAATTAACACCTCCTTTTTTCCTTGGTGTTTGGATGACATGGATGGCCACAACTGCTACTGATAAATAAAATGAGGGGGAAGGGAGAAGCACTCCCACAACAAACACACATTGATCCTTCACTGCAGAGACACAAGTTTGCCAAAGCTCGCGTTCTATAAACAGTAAAATGCTGATCACAAAACTGATGATATAACTAGCACCTAAAAGTTGAAATCTAAAAAATTAAATGATAACTATATCATAGCCTCATTCCTAAGAAGCATGCAAGTAGTGAGCCAACACTGTTTATTGCTGAGCCCAGGCTATTGAGACAGAGTTCTTGGATTTTGATAGCAATCCTATGTATTATACATTAAGATAATTTTAAGCAGTTTATATTATCTTTCTTAAACTTCAATTTCCTCATATAAAAAAGTGAAAAGGGATCATTTTCATGACATAGGATGATGGATGGATTAAATGAGATCCTACATGTCACAGCACTTAGCACAGTATCAACCACAGGTTTAAAAACCCCACACCTACCACCTTGGAGTAAATTTTGATTCATAGTGGCCCTAGCCAGGGTTTCTGAGGCTGTCAAGATTTAAGAGAGGAGATAGTCTCCTCCTCTCCCTCACAGATTTAAGCTGCCAACCTTGCCATTAGCAGCCATTAGCCAAGGCTTCCTCAACAGCACCACCAGGGGTCCCCTGTCATGTGCTAAACAATCAATAAGGAACTCAACTCGCAAAGCACTTCACCAGCCTTCTAGACACCATACAGAAAGAAATGTGCACTGACAGTTCAGAGAGGAGGATCAATGCCCAGAGACCATTGGAAGCCACCGCGATAACTCCCAGGGTAAGGTGAAGCAAGGCATCAGTAGAACCTCGGCGAACGTTCAGATCCAGAAGGAGCCCATAGAAAATAAGTCATTAAAAATTGGTCCATCAAGTGTGACATCCTATTCTTTAGAGGGCATAAAAAGAAATGAGAAAAGATCAAGAAGCACAGCATATGAAACGGAAGCCAGGCCTGCCTCCTCTTCCAATACCAAACTGAGAGAAGAGGACAACGCTGTTGACCAGCAAAGACATACTCCAGAAGTAAAGGCATGTGTCCATAATAAATTAGCTCAGCCCAATACTCTCAAGAACACAGAGAAGCATCGTCTGATGGGAGAGCGGACAAAGGAAGAATATTGAAGAGGCCTCTGAGCTCAGTAGCTCCCCAGCCTGAGCCTGAAGAATGAAAGGAAAAACTGGTGGGGCCTTTCTGAACCATCCTGGCAGACGATGATGAATGAATACTATTCACAGAGTAAGTAAACAAGATTATTTTTGGAATGCCTAAACCTCATTAATGAGGGATGCCCAAATATTGGCCACATTGATTAACCTGATTCAAAATAATCCCGATGTCAAAAACCTGCTGAGTCCTGGCGTTACACATCTGAGCCAATCACGGGCCCTATTTGAAAGCGTTATTGCTATCTCTGAAGACCATCCTAAGGGTGACTCAGCCCTCTGAAGGGATTTGGTATACAGTTATTCCACATGGAGAGCCAAAAAAAAGTTAAATTCAGAATCAAACCCTTGGAACTCTTGCAGGCTCCTGATCTTTGCTGCCAGAGTAGTTATAAGTATCCTTTATTGTATCTCAAACTTAAAATGCGGGGATCTAAGAAGTTTAAAGGAAAGAACATAATGAAATTCTACTAATAAAAAAACAAATTTTAAGCAGATGTTATATAAATATATATATAATTTAAGATTCTCTAACCATTAAGTCTGTATTTATTCATTCAAAAATATTTATTAAGTGCATTCTACAAAAGAGATCACTGTGCCTTTTAAGTATTACAGACACACACATGAACTGATTCCCACTTACAAATGGACATTAATAATGGAGAAGACCGATTCTTAGCGTAGTTTAGTTCAACTGCACGAGTCACTTTCTGATAAGAAAACACAGTAAATCTTCATTGAGAAATCATTTTGTGCAAACTGATGTGTGTGCCACTGAGACGAAGATGCAAGGTTGGACCTCGTGTGCATGTGATAGAAAATATGATTAATAACAAAAATTGGCAGAACAAAATTAAACAATAACAATTTTAAGATATCTATTTCTTTACAATAAAATTCTAAACTGGATTCTAAGATAGTCTAAAGTAGATATCAGAGAAAGACAGGATAAAGGAGGTTAGTAGAATAGACACAAATATTAGCACATACCACAAAAGAATAACTTTTAAATTCTTTTGATTTAAAACTAATGACTTTCCTTCTTAAAAGGATTCAATAACGAAGCCCACAACTTTCCTCTGGTTCTTGAACGCTTCTTCCCCCCAACTACCAGGACCCCAATTTTGCCTTGCAGACCTGGTTGGACTAGATGATGCACAGCGGTACAGACGGGAATTGGGAACGCAGGGAATCTAGGACAGAGG